GCGCGCGCGCGCATATACTGTAGAAATATCGAATATTTATTTATTTTTGCTCAAAGTATTTTCAATTTGTCTCTTTCGCCACCCCCAGCTGTTGATATCAAGTTGTTCACGGTGTAAGACATGTGACTGTTTGGTCTACGATGAGGAAATCATGGCTGGTTGGACAGCTGATGACTCCAATCTAAATACCATCTGTCCCTTCTGCGGAAACCCTTTCCTTCCTTTTCTTAACGTGGAGATTAGAGACACGAGAGGACCCGGCAGGTAATAAAATATCCCGGTAGTTTAAGTCATGGCATCCAGATGCAGTGTACAAGTCCACTATCATAGCATGGTCAATGATGATGATTGTCAATGTGATTCGATCCCTTCTTTTGTTCTTAGGATGTTCCTAAAGGGAAGCGCATCTGTCGACGAGGCGATGAGCTCTTCATATTCTGCCTCCACGGGCTTTGGCACAGGGACATCCACCTTGTCCACCCCTTGTCCCAACACTGCTATCTCGCCACCCTCCCCCGGTATTTCTATCCAAGACCGTTCAGTGAGATCGAGGTACAAAGATGTCATGATATTCTTTTACCGAGTGTCTTTTGATATGGTGCAGTTTTGACTGGAAGAAGGTTATTTTTCCACAGACCTCGATCTATGAGATCTCACGGTGTCAAGATCCCCTCAGAGTGGCGCCACGGGGCTTTTTCTTCTGGATTGGCCATGGCCCGTAGCGTCAGTGTCTTTGGTCCAGCTGAGGAAACATACCAGTGCAACCATTTTGTGCCATTCTCTGGCAGTTTACCCAGCCGCTTGAATGAAACCACTGTATGTGCCACACTGCTGATACCAGAGTATCGTCAAAATTATTATTTTTGACCCTAACATTTTCACGCTGAATGAAAAATAATTTTGGGTCATAATGAAAAATAATCTCGAGTCAAATCTAAATAAATTTGGTCAGCAACATTGTATTTTAACAAGATGAGAAATTGTGAATAATTTCAAATAATACGCGATCATTAAGTATCCCCAAAAGTGCATGCCACAGATAACGTTGTACTTTAATAAA